AGTGTAGTCTACTATTAATAAAGCAGCCCACAGATCCCATTCTCAATGAGACATCCAACAAGTATTACAGGGACTGCATTCAAATGGAATGTTCTGTATTTGCTTATTGGGTGTTTTAGCATAAATCTTTTGGTGTCAGACTCCTGAATGTTTATATTCTGATGCTACATCTCATAGAACTTAGATCTTTGACTTCTTGGATCATCCTGAAGCTGAGACGCTTTTTTTTTTTAAAGCAGTATTTTCAACTCCTTAGAATAAAAGAAATGAAGGAAAAAGAGTTGCAGATACTGGAGTAACTGACTGAGCAGGGAAGCCTGGGTATTGTGAAACCTCCTAGCTTGTTTCCTTGTAAGAAGTGCTTCAGGGATGCTTGAAGCAAGGGTGTTTTAGCAGCTGCCTCACTCTTGATTGACTGCATGAGGCTTCAAAAATACCAATGCGTTCATTAGCATCAGGCACTCTCAGGATCTTGGGTAGACTGGCTTAAGAGAAACCTGTGAGGGCTCTAAGAGAGCTCTCCAAGGCAAGATTTATGGGAGACAGCCACAGCGAGTGTTTGCTTGGTGTCATTTAGACTCATTGCCCTGACCTCTCGACACATCTGAGTATCAATAAGATATGACTTTTCAGAAGATACCAGGACAGAGAAGTAAGCGTTGGCACAGATTATTTGTAGACTTTCTCCCCCCCACCCCCACCCCGCCCCTATAACACTTACCCAGTGTGGTTTGCTAGAAGAAATCGATGTCCAGAAAATCAAAGATGAAAGAAGGGAGAGAGAAGATGATATAGTTGACTGGACCAAAAAAAAAATAATGTGTACTTAAAATACTGGAAATAGGAGATTGGGAAAGGACAAGGGACGACAAGAAAAGTGACGGAGCATGCTTGGCTTTGGTACAGCACACACTGTACAGGAGAGGGCAAGTGGTAGATGAGAATGTAATTGTAAAGCCAACTGCTACTGTTCAGCATCTCTCAAAGCTTCCAGTGTGGAGAAAATCTCTTCATTTCAACTCACAATCAGGATGGTTTTTATCTTATAATGATAAAAATGGTAATGTTTTACAAAATATTACCTTTATCTTTTACGTGCATTAATATGCTTAATTACTACTCCTATGACACTCAGTTTTCAGATGGCAAAACTGGGATTTCAAGAAATTTGGTTATTAGTGCTTTCTTGGGTCCTGTTGTTAGTGAATTGTTAGTGAATTAGGCAGGTTGAGGTCTTAGCCGGCTCCACTTTAGCATTTGCACTTTTCATATTCAAAATAGCTGATCAGTGAACCCTTTATTTGTTTTCTGATATGCAATTTCTAGCCTAGGTATCATTTTAACAATTGTAGAATTCTATGTAGGCATGACTTAATTTTTAAATACAAAATAAAATAATTATTAAATTATATAAATTAAGAGAGTCATCATTACTCAGATTTTATTTCTTTTGACAAGAAAATAAAAACACACACTTCAACAAATGTGCTCTTACCTTCAATTTGTTTTATAGATTTATTTTTGTTTTGTTTTGTTTTTTGAGACAGGGTTTCTCTGTGTGGCTTTGGAGCCTGTCCTGTAACTTTGTAGTCCAGGCTGGACTGGAACTCCAAGAGATAGATCCCCCAGCTTCTGCCTTCCAAGTGCTAGGATTGAAGGCGTGTACCACCACCACCCTGAAAGATTTACTTTTCTATAAAGATTTATCATTATTTAGTAGAGGTGTAATACATAAATCCACAATAGAATACTTGCCACCATCGTAAATACCTTTTACCACACTGAGCAGCCTTCTTTAAGACTTTATTCTTGGTAAACTAGTTCCCCATAGTTTTCCAAACTATGCTTTGAGTAGAATAGCAAGAAATTTACATTGTAGCTCTTAAACAGCAGAACCGTGGACATGTGAACAGAGCCTTTGTGGCTTGGATGGGTTCTCCCTGTCCCTGCCTCTGCCCCCAAGCCTGTAAGTAGAACATCTGGTTAGAGCTTATTGTGCAAATGGGGGGATGGGGACCTTTGAAAGAGCAGGGCCTTCTAGGAGGAAGTTAAGTCAGAGAGACAGGCTCTTGAAGGACAAGTAGGAACCCATGATTCTAATCTCCTCTTCTTTTCCCTCTACCTTTCCTTTCTTTTTGGTGGACATGAGATGAACAGCGAGTTCCTCCATGTCTTCCCACCATGAAGAACTGTGCAACCACTGACCCAATGCCCAAAGTCACAGTGTCATAAGACTGGTGAGACAAACCTTTGCAACTATGAGACAGAACATTTTCCCATAGTACATTGATTATTTCAAGCATTATGTTATAGTAACCCAAAGTATACTAACAAAACTTCTGTAAGGGCATGATGCCATTTTATCAGAGGCTTAAGGACATTTGAATTTAAGCATTTTTTTTGTTTTTGTTTTCGTTTTTCGAGACAGGGTTTCTCTGTATTGTTTTGGAGGCTGTCCCGGAACTCGCTCTGTAGACCAGGCTGGCCTTGAACTCACAGAGATCCGCCTGCCTCTGCCTCCCAAGTGCTGGGGTTAAAGGCGTGTGCCACCAACGCCCGGCTGAATTTAAGCATTTTATAACTATCAAGTCAATCAATTTCTAAAAATATTACCTAAATATCTCAAATAGCTTTTTTTACTTGCCTATATGTTTCTTTGTTTTTTATACTTTCAGTCATTCTGCTCAAACATGCCATTAATATACTCTGTCTGTTGATCAGGAGTATAACAGATGGAATTGTGCTGGCTTACACATGCCATCGTTTTATGTTCAAGGATATTGTGAGTTGGTTATTAAACATAACCATATCAACATTAAATTGACATGTTAACAAAATTACCTTAAAGTAATAATAAACATTTAAAATATGCCATTTTGTAATTATCTCTACTGCATTTTGCTGTGACATCTATCAGGCTCTCTTTTGGGCCACCAACCAGCTTCCAAACTTAATATTAGTTATATTAGTTAATACTAGTTATGAATGAGCATCCTTAGCTTATATTTACCCTATTAGTTCTTACAACTTAAATTTGCCTGTTTCCTTTTATCTACATTTTGCCTCAGGGCTTTTTTACCTTTGATTCTGTATGTCCTATCTATTCCATGTCTGTCTGGAAGCTGCCTGGTTGGCTGGTTCTGGGCATCTCCCTTTCTCTCTCTCTCTCTCTCTCTCTCTCTCTCTCTCTCTCTCTCTCTCTCTCTCTCTCTCTCTCTCTCTCTCCCTCCCTCCTCTTCCTTGAGCCTAGATTTCTCCTCCTACTTATTCTCTCTGCCTGCTAGCACTGCCTAACCCCCTACTCCTAGCTATTGGCTGTTCAGCTTTTTATTACACCAATCAGGTACCTTAGGCAGACAAGCTAAAACAGCAACACATCCTTGCATAATTAAACAAACGCAGCATAAACAAAAGCAGCACGTTTTACATAATTAAACAAATGTAATGTGTCTTTACATAGTTAAAGTCATATCCCACAGCAATACCACATACTTGATGGTTTTAATCTACTAAGGGGAAACGGTACAGACTCCTACACTGTGGTACTTCTGGGACCAACTCCACCATCAGGGGTCATGAGGTAAACCGTGTGAAGTCAGCATTGCTGAATCTGGAAATTTTCAAACACTGAAAGCACAGATTGATTGTTTTTAGATTGTTTAAACAAGAAAAGTGGGGGAAATATGATTAGTGCAAATTAAGTATAAGCTTTGTCATTTCTGTAGCTTTGTTTTCTTAAGTAGACCCCAAATCTCAATAAGTATTCCTATAGTTCAAAAACATACTGTCCTGTTCAGTAAAGAAGTCATTCATGTGAACAGGTGAATGCCTCAAAATGTTTTCATTTTCCATTTACTTGCTTATGTAAATGAAAATATCAACCAGTGCTCACATCCAGATTGCATGTACCATTGCTTTTCAACTGCAGAAAATGACTATGCATGTAATAATTAGGTAAAAATCAATAAGTTGATTCTGTGAAAATAAGTTATAGTTAAGTTATAATAAAGAATATTCTTTTGTCATTCACATGTTGTTTATTCTTTATGTAATGCATTTTTATAGTAAATGTATGCCTGAGGGGCAGTCACTAAACATCACCAGATCATCACTGGGTAAACTCTATGATGTTCATACAGACTCAGTAAATTTTTTATGTAGTCTCAAATTTTATGTAGTCTTTCTTTTGAACTGTGGAGACAGAATTGTTTTGCAATGTGGTATTTTTGTTTCTTTTGATAAAGATTAGCTCAGAACAAATTCTTAAAACTGAGACTTTAGGTGATGCAGCTATTCTTCATTTACATAGTAGTTGTAGTAGTCCACCTTTTTGCTTGTGTTTCTCCACGGTCAGTCTCGGTTTGCTGTAAGCCTGTGTCTGTTATGCCAAGTCACTCACTTAATTAGTATTTGGATTTCAAATGAGGTTAGAATGCCCAGTTCAGGATCACTCTCAGAGTGATGGCTGGATGCACTTCTCTGGTCACCCGTCATTCCGAGGGCACCGCTGTGTCAGGTCTTTAGGACCATACTCACTGGAGAATGGGCCAGATCCCAGTGAGTATGTAAGGGCTCAATGATCTTAGCACACACACCAAAGTTACTAGGATCTTCCAACAAACTTACTCCATGTGCTATTTGACCACCGATTGTGGTAGGTATTTTTGTTCAAAAAGAAGCCTGAAAAGCTGTAATTAACTTTCTCCACGTTTTGACACTGATGTGTGTTATGTTACCATCACAGCCTTCCTGTAATCAGCATTAGGTGATATTTACTAGCTACTTATCATCACCTCTGTCACTGAATCAAATGCTATGAAATTCACGGTTAGGCTTTCTAGCCGTCAGAAAATCAAGAACATACAAAAGTGGTTTTAAACACTGTAAACTGACAGCTATTACCCCACTACATGTAATGGTGGAAGCAACATTAGAAGTGTTTGCTCCCCATCAACTTCATCTGCTTTTGTAGACACTACGCTAATATTCAGTGTAGACAAGAGTGATTATAGCCTTGACTGCTCTGGTGGTTACAAATAAGAGTCTTTGCAGGCTGGGAAATGCTCTGAGGTCAATTACAAACAATATGTATGAGGAAATATGAACTTTAAATTGGTTTAAACATAGCATAGATCATAGCATGTATCAGTATTAAGCTTAATGTTCCTGATGAAAACAGTTACATGTCCAGTGTGAGTTTGGGAGACTGACTGCTCATGAGTACAAGGAACATGTTCCTTGCTTATTGACACACTTATACTCTGACTGTAAGGATGACTGAATATTAGTACCCTAAAGTCAATAACATTCAAAGAGTGTATGACACTATTGAAGCAAGTACACAGAGGGTGGGCAGCATTTTTTTTGTAGTATAATTGCTCTTAAATTATAGGCAAAAAGGACTGGGGAGTTAGCCCAGAGGTGGAACAATTGCCTACAAATCTGTGGCTTGATTGATCCCTAGCATCACAAAGTATAAAATTTAAATAAAAAGAGAACAAATATAAAACATAGAAAATGGCAACAGAGAAGAGAACGAATGCCAAGTATCTTCCAATTTTTAGTTTTGCTGAGACCTATATAGGAAAGAAGCCAGTGGACATGGCCCAACCTCCTCAAAAAAGTCCTCATACAGACTAACTTTCTGTTTACTGTGCTTGATAGTGTATTTTCTTTAAAACTTTTTAAAAATTGAATTCACACAATTTGAAAGCTACAACTACAAATCACATTGATTCTTTTAGCTGTTAGAAAACATTTCATTAGTGGATAAGACCAAGGAGAAATCTGTGACTCATGGCTATGCAATTACATCTATAGCTTAATTGATTTGGGGGTTTGTTTTTATTCCATAGTATTTGTGATCTCCACTGGCAAAATCAGCTGAAATTCACACTAAAGCTCATCCTTTCTTTGGTTGTTATAGATCAAACCCAGTTCTTCACATATGTTAGGCAAGTCCTTATTTCTGAGCTACAGAAACTGGAAGAGGCGAGCCCGTGAGTGGTGTTCATCCATGTGCATAAGTTCCGTCTCTGTACTTGTGTTCATGCTTTGGCTCTCCTTCATGCCAGACTGTAAAGTGTAAGATGAAATCAACCCTCTCTAGCGCAAGTTGGTTTTGGTCAGTGTTTTACCTTGGCAATAGAAAAGAACACCAGAATATTAGAATATTAATTTATTCAGAAATGTGAATAAATCTATCAGACCCAATAACATAAACATTCACTGCTACTAGAATCTCATATATGCTCTAACACTTGGACACGTGACTCTTTAAAAATCAGCAGTATGTAAGTTTTTGGTCTAAGAATTGTTATAAGGTTAATAGGATAGGAAAGATTCTATTCAGATGTCATCATAGAATTTGGTAAATATTTACAGAATTACCTCTTTTGATAGATTATAACTGATTTTCTATAACTATTTTATTCTACGAACCAAGGCAATAGTGGTCAGGATTAGAATAAGGGACCCATGCACTGCCACAAGGTGCCAGGGTAACATACAGGCCTGGGCTGCAGCTGAGGGCCGTGTTTGGGTTCATGACTGTATTGCAGCCAGGGTCTGTGTTGATATCTGTGACTCCTGATACCATCAAAGACCTCGCTGATGCCAGGGGCTCTGGGCCACCACCTCAGCTATGAGACTAATATCCTAGGTCCATACTATTGAGGGCCATGGTGACATCCAAGTCCAAGTTGCTACTGAGGACCATGTCTGGGTCCACGGTCCTAGAACATCTGGGTTCTGTGTTGACGTCCCTGGCCCATGGTACCACCAACGACCACACAGATGCTAAAGGTTGAGCCACAATCTGTGGCCATGCTGATGTCTGAGAGCCATGCCACCCTTAGGACCAGGATGATCTGGGTGAACTGCTCTGCCACATGGGGTGTCATCTGGGCCCAGGTTGCTGTTATGGGACATGGCCCAGCAACATGTTCCTATTGCCACAGGTGTCTGTGCAGATGCCCAGGGTCTAGACAGTCATCCAAGATCATGTTGGTGTCTCAGGGCCTTGCTGCCACTGGAGCCATACTGATCTGGGTGGTCTGTTTTGACACCTGAGCCATGGTGACACCCAGGGCCCCAGCTGCTGCTGAGGGCCATGACTGGGTTAATGTTTCTGCTGCAGCTGGAGTCTGTGATGATGTCCATAGCCTGTGTTACTACAGGGAGTCATAGGAACCATGTGTGTAGAAATCTAAGTGCTGACCTGGCACCATCCTCCACGGGATGCTTCACAACCCTTCACCCCCCAATCCACCCACCCACCCACACTGGGGAGAGACAACCCCACTCATCACCCCATCCTGCCACACTGGGGAAGAGCTGGCCTCAATGGCATGAGCATAGGAGAGTGGTCCCAGGGGCCCAGACCAGCTCAGCTACTAACCAGCCCCATATCCTGGGCCTTGGTTGGCCCACCCTAAAATCTACCCTGTCTATGACTACCTGGATTTCATGAAGGGACTGGTCCTGCCTAACAGTAACAGCAGGATCTCCATGAGAAGTTTAGGTGAAGGTCCAGTGATGATGGTATCCCAGGGGTCTTGAAGCAGACCAATGACTCATTGCAATGAACATTTTTCGGGTAGAGCAAATTGAACAGAAGGATATACTGCGTGACACACTACAGTTCCTGATGCCACTAGGATGAATGAGGAGATGTTGTGAAAAATGGAAGAATAAGATGACTTTTTATTTGTTTGTTTTGCTTTTAATTAATTTGGGGGGATTCTTTTGGGGATCATGAGATGAAAGACAGATGCAGAAGGACTGGGAGGTGAGTGGGATTGCAGTGTATGATGTGGAATTCCTAAATCATCAATAAAGAGTTATGTTAAAATTCAGAAGCATTATAGGAAGCGACATGCACAGTAGGAAAAAAGAACAAGTGACCCAATCCATCAATAAAAATAGAGAACCATCCAAGCCACTGGCTTAACAATCAGTTGCTTTTCCTCTTAAGACTCCGTGTGGGGCCCTGGAGTATTGCCACTCCTATGGCCCACTGTCAGCCTTGGCAGTGTCTCCTTTTATACCCTGCACTATTGCTCTGCTCTGAATAAAGTTTTCTGTTTGCTTCTGTGGCAAAAAAAAAAAAGACACGGCTCAATAGTGCAAGACTGGTATCTTATACAGCTATTGGTGATGTATCAGTGCAATGGATTCCCACATATTTTCATCAAAATTCATCTTTGGGATGGTACCCTTTTTTTTGTGACCAAAATTTCAATATTGGCTACCAGTCAAATGACATAAAGCTTTGCTTTTCAACCTCAGATCAATTTTTTTTTACCTTGTGTGCATTAACTAGTTGTTTATCAGACTGCTTTCCAGTCTGCTTCCCACCTTTTCCCAGTGTCTTCATTGTAAAAGAGCGGGAGAAGATGATCCCACTGGCATGCGGCTTAAGCTAGAAGTGGGAAGCAAGCTAAAGCCGGGATAGTCCCTGGTAGGATAAGCGGTCCAGCATCATGGCAGTCGGGAGCTGTGTTGGGTTCCTCACAGCTGTCCTTGGCAGGTGTTTACTGCAGGCATCCTACCAAGATATTGTTTGTATTCTGCTCTCTGCTTTGGTCTGTCTCTTCTTTAAAACCATCTAAGTCTTCTTTTCTTCTCATTCTTCTCCCAGCAGGGACAATTTTCTTTATACATTCTTCTATTTGATAAACTAAGGTGGGAGCTAAAGGAAATAAAAATGTAGCCTGGCCCTCAAGGAACTCCTAGTTTTATTGGATGGGAATGGAGACAAAAATCAGCTTTCTAACCCAGCATAAAAATAAGTCAGTAGACAAAGAAAAATGCATAAAAGAGCAGTCAGGCTGCTTAGTGGGGCGTGGACTTACAGATGGGGGTTTGGAGTGCTTTTGATCTTATTCAATTGCAAAAAAAGATGTATTTTTAAAAATTAAATACTACATAGAGAGACATATATGTTTATGTTATAGCTAAATAGTATGTAAAGAGAATTTAGTCAGGTTCTCATTGCCTTTCTGCCTTTTATGATTCTTGGTAAATTTATCCTAGAGAAAAGCACAGTGGAGTTTAAATAGTCTGATGACATTTTAATCTATCCCGATAATTTTGTGCATTCGAGTGCTCGAGCGCGCGCGCACACACACACACACACACACACACACACACACACACACACGCGCGCGCGCACACACACCCCTCCCCAGCATTCAAGCATTCCTAGCTCTCCCTGCCAGCCAGAGCCTGTCTTGCCTCCTGTTTTGATTTCCCACTTGATCTCTCTCCCTATGTGTGCTATTCACTGTTTCTATGAGGAGAATGTTTGCTTTGCTCTTCGAGCCTTCAGCTTTCTCACTTGGAGAATTCTCTACAGGTCATTTAACATGTGCTTCTCCTCTCAAAACCTTTGAAAGGCAGACAGATTTCTCTTTGTGCTCATCTGTTTTAAAATGTTTCGTTTCTACTACAAATGGTTCTGTGTATTTTGTATACTTTTAAGACATTGTGATTTCTGAGTTACTAAGTCAATAAAAATAGATGAGTGTCCCTCAACTGAAATTAAAATCTTTTTTATGGATAAATATTTTTAATTTTAGCAGCTTGCATCTTTTCTTTGGTAAATGTTACATTACCAAATTACCCCTCATATTATCATACACCTAGGCCTCATATATGAGTGAGTTTTCTTTCGCTGAGACAAAATACCCAGAATAAACAACCAGTGGAAAGATTTGTTTCAGCTCACAAGGTCAGAGACTCAGTCCATGGTCTCTTTGCTCTGTTGTGTCTGGGCCTGTAGAGAGGCAGAACAGCAAGGCATAGAGCACATGACAGAGGGGATCTGTTTATCTAATAGTAACCAAAAAGCAAAGAGAGACAAAGACAGAGAGACAGGCCCACAGACACAGACAGCAGACAGACAGGCACACACACACACACACACACACACACACACACACACACACACGTGCGCACCAGGGACATGTATATCCTCCAATATTATCCCGTTGCCATGATTTACCCCTGCCATCTAGACCCCAATCTCTGAATATTGTGCAGTTTCCACGGTACCACCAACCAACACATGGGTTATTCTGAGGCATTTAAGATCCAAGCTACAATCCTCCCTAATCATCGTTTGTCTTTTGGTATGTTGATTCTAGGTATTACATTTTTATGAGTCAAATTATCCATGTCGGGAGGGAAGGTACATAGGGGAGGGACTAGAGAGAGTTTGAGGGAGGCAATAGTCGATGGACACACAATCAAAACTATTTATATTACATAAACAAATGGAAATCTAAAAAAAAAACTAAATAAATAAAAGTATTATAAAGGTGCTAGAGAGCTGGCTCCACAACTCTGTTCTTCAAAGGACCTGAGTTCAGTTCCCAGACTCCACAAAGCAACTCACAATAATGTGTGACTCTGGATTCAGGAGATCTGATACCTTCTGCTGGCTTCTGAGGACACTAGACATACGGGCAGTGCACATACATACAGGAAGATATTTGCATATACCTATAAAATAAAATAAGTAAACAAGAGTTGGAGGAAGGGGACTTGGGCAAGATAGAAGGACAAAAAATGTATAAAGTTGAAGTAAAAATACATAATAAAGATAAACATACATTTTCATAGCTTTCTATTATTTTTACTTTGTAGTAGTTTGGATATAATAACAAAACAACAGTAGCTTTAGCTATGCTATGTACTGTATGTTTGTGTGAATGTATGATGTATGTTTAAGTGTAGGTAGCTTAATCCAAGTAAAGTCTATGTCTCTCGCAATGTGGAAGTCTGACCATAAGCAGTCTACTGCTGAGATGACATTTTGGGAACCCCCATTATTCTTCTCTCCATCTGCCTCCTGAGTTAGACTGTGGCTAAGCCAGCTCCTACCATGTCCCCATCTCTGGGGCAAGTGAGTAAGACAGAGGAAAAGAAGGGGAGAGTGATTTTCTAAATAGGCCCAGGATGTTGCCCTATGTTATTTTTATTCACATGCGCTAGGTATGAGATGATCACATGATCTTTCTTCCCTGTAAAGGAGTAGGAGGAGTAAACTGAATTATATAACCACGAAGTAAGTGAAATTCTGGGGAAAGAAGGCCTACTTCCTGTGACAATGAACACGAGAATGTATTGTGCTTTTCTCCCAACGAAGTATCATGCTTTCGGGAATTTTCACCTTTTTGAAGAGGCTATTTACTCAGAGTTTTGACATAACTCGGGATGTATAACATATTTACATATTGATTTTAACTTGATTTTTAAATTAAAAATAGATTTTTTTCAGACAGTGTTTTCTGATCACAATTTCTCCTCCCCAAATTCCTCCACTATCTTCTCCATTTCCTGACCTACCCAAATACACACCCTTTCTTTCTCTCTTCCTTACAAAACAAGCAAGCAACTAAACAAACAAACAAATCAGACTAAGACAAATGGTAAAAAAAAAAAAGAGACAAAGAAAAAGCACAAGAAACACATAGAGAGACTCACTCACACAAATAGCCCATAAAAGCATATAATGAGAAATCATAACATACACGCAAAAGACCCGTTAGGTTAAGGAAGTGACCAGATAAGTCATTGTGAGACAGACAAGATAAATGGAAACAAAACAAAAACAAACAAAACCCCCCAAAATAAAATAGAACCTTTCAAAAGTTCCATTGAGTTCATTTCATGTTGGATATCTACTACTCCCTTAAGTGTTGTTTGTAAGCAAGACTCCTTTGGGAAACATTTTTCTTTGTGAGCGATTGTCAATTGGGGATAGGTTCTGGGTTAGGAATGACTTGTGTCCACATCCCTTCACTGTGCTGGGACCCCAGCTGGCCTAGACCTCATGTGTAGGCCCTGTGCATGCTGCCATAGTCTTGGAGTTCATATGTGCTTCCGTCCTGTTGAGTCTAAGAGGCTTTGTTTCCTTGGTGTCCTCCATCCTTACTGGCTCTTACACTTTCTGCCTCCTCATCTGGAAAGTTCCTTGAGCCTAGAGGGGAGGGGTTTGATGGAGACATCCCATTTAGGACTGAGTAGTTCAGGCTCTCTTAGTCTCTGTACAGTGTCCACTTGTGTGTCTCTGCATTCGATCCCATTTATAGCAGGAGGAAGCTTCTCTGATAATGGCTGAGCAAGGTACTGACTCATGAGTGTAGCAGAAATGTTAAAAGTCATTATATTTCTATGTTACTTTAGTAGAATAGTAGGTTTTTTTTGTTTTTTGTTTTTTTTTTTTGTTTTTCTCCTAGGTCCACAGCCTATCTAGTGTCTTAAGTTCTTGTCCACTTAAGCAGTGTAAGGTATGGGTACCAACTCATAGAATGGGCCTTAAATTCATCAGACAGTGGCTGGTTACTCCCACAACCTTTGTGTTACTATTGAACCAGTATATCATGAAGACAGGTTACCACTGTAGATCAAAGAGTTTGTAGTTGGGTTGGTGTTTATCTTTCTCTTCTGGTGGCATGCAGAGTACCTTCAAGTACAATGAACGCTAGTCAGTAGGGGGTAAGGTTCTAGGTAGTAGGAACTGGCTTGACTCTTTATGTTCAATAAGTTATGAAGGTGTGGTCTTCAACAATAGGCCCTTACCATCAGTTTGTGGAGAACCCCTAGTAGCCTTAGCAATAGCCTGGGTTGTTCAGGTGTTTTCCATGGGCACTCTTTCGCCACCAACTCAATTAAATATAAACCATTTCTGACACTGGAGTTTTCATTTGATGGGAAGAGATACCTAGGGGCTTTGTCTCCTTCATTATTTAGTGATTCCATTTAGATTCCTGTCAAATATGTATATATTTTAAGAAGCTTCTACTGTAGTACATTTCTTTATGAGCCCTCAAATGGTCCTCTGTTTTAGCTGTCCTTCCCTGTTTTCCCTCCCTTACCACCAACACTACCATCCCTGTCTTCCCAACCCTTCTCCATCCTGTTAGTCCTTAATTAACCCTTAATCCTCCTGTTCAGTCCTCCACCCCCGTTAACTATAATTTATTTCCCCTTCCTGAGGAGACCCTTCCCTTTCTAGCCCTTACTCTCTGTAATGATATGGAGTGTAGCCTGCTTATCAAAGGCTTAAAAACTAACATAAACATATAAGCAGATATATATATCATATTTGCCTTTTTGGGTCTAGGTTACCTCACTCAGGATATTTTTTTTCTAATTCCATTCATTCCATTCATTTATGTGTAAATTTCAGGGTTTTGTTTTTTTTAAACAGCAGAGTAATATTCCATGGTGTAAATGTATCACATTTTCTTCATCTGCTTTTCCATGGAATTGTATCTAGGCAGTTTCCTAATTTTGCGTATCATGCATAGAGGAACAATGAAAATGGATGAGCAAATGTCTCTCTAACAGGACATAGAGTCCTTTGGTACATGCCCAAGAGTGGTATAGCTGGATCTAGATCTATTCTCAGCTTTCTGAGGAACCACTACACTGATTCCTATAGTGACTGCACCAGTTTGCATTCCAGCCAGCAATGGATGAGTGTTCCCCTTACCTGACATCCTCAGTAGGATGAGCTGTCACTTGTGTTATTGACCTTGGCCATTCTCACAAATGTAAGATGAAATTTCAAAGTAGTTTTGATTTGCACTTCCCTGATGACTAAGGTTGTTGAGCATTTTTAAAATAACTTTTTATTTAAATTAGAAAAAATTTTATTTTGCATATCAATCCCAGTTCCCTCTCCCTCCCATCCTACAATGCCCCCGCCAGTCCCTCCCCCATTCACACCCCACCCACTCCCCAGGGAAGGTGAGGCCTTCCATGGGGGATCATCAAAATCTGTCACATCATTTGGGGCAGGGCCTAGGAACATTTCTTTGAGGTGGCTGCTTGGGGCCTTTTGTTTCTCCAAATTCCCTTTTGTAACTCCTTCTTTCCCTTTCCTCCCTGCCCTCTTTCTTCATGAAACTAGTATCTGCTCACTCAGCTTCATTTCTTCTGTTTCCTTGGTGCATTCCCTTAATTCTCCCCACTGCCACAAGCCATGGACACAGGGTCCCAACTTCTTGAGCGATAATTCCAGCACAGTTATTTTGTTTTTTTCTTTAATCTTGGTCCCTAAAGAAGGTCTTGGTGAAGCACCCAAAATTCCAGGGCATTAGTAATTTTGTAATTTTATTAATTATTTTATTGATTTTTAAAAAAGCTTTTTCTTATAGCCAGAAGAGAATGGTAAAATAGTCTTTAGGCTCTGAATATGTGTGCCTACCATGCCTTTACAGGGCCTCTAAAAGGGACTGGACAATGGTTTCTGCTTCCAATCAGTCCCTTTTCCTCCTGAAGCATTCTTCAAAATTAAACTTCTATTTCCTTTGATGTAGGCTCACACTCTCCTCACTCCTGGGTATTTAAGCCACTGCTTTACCCCCAGGTTTATCCGTTTCGAGGCGCACAGTTCCTACCCAGACGCTTGCTGTCCAATTGCTCTCCTCCATTGTTAAAACACACAGCTTATGCCCCTTGATGAGTCCTCCTTATACACAGAAGCTGTGTAACTAAGAAAAACGTGTTTCTTACAGAGTCCATGAGGAGAGCATAACCCAGACAGGCTGTGGGCTCTCCTCCTGGGCACCCCCCCTCTTCCCCCTCCCGTCACCCCATTCCTTTGCTTGTTTCTTCTGCCCCAGGAGTCTCACCACCATTCACCAGGGTGCTAGATGTGGAAGTTGTCCTCGTTAACCTGTGAGGCAGCCACTCTCATTTCACAAAGAGGGAGCAGCATGAAGAGGCTAAGGAGGCCACCAATCATCGTGGGAATTGAAGAAAGGGGGCTGAGCCAAGATTGAAATCCCAGCCCGAAACTCTCTGAAGCCAACCTCATGTCACACAGCTCTGCAGACAAACTTGTCACACTATGCCTGTACAGAAGTGACACGAAGCAGCTGAAACAGTGGGGCGATGTAAAAGATCCAATTTTACGTCTCCACTCCATCATCTGAGTTGTATCCCAGCAAGTCACTCAAGTTTCTGAATTCGTTCCTTCATCTGTAAAATGGTGCCAGCCCAGGACATATGGGGCCTGATGAATTTGTCAAGCTCCTTCTGTGGGCCAGGGATAGTCTCAGACACTGGGGTTATGACAGCACATCCTTGTTTTCAAGGAGCCACCATTGTTTTGGAGGAGAGGACATAAAAACTTAAGTCGTGATCTTCCGGGAGCTCTAAAGAAAAATGAAAGTATGAGGAGAGAGGGGAGGAAAGGGGGATTTGAAAGTGCTTTTCCAACATGGAGAAACATAAGCAGGCCATAAAGGAGCAACGATGTAGACAGCAGGGATAAGAATATGCCAAGGAAAAGGAAATGTGCTCAGGTCTCATGTTGTATTCAGTAACAGCCAATTCAAAGCCTATAGCCAGTCATGTTACTACATGGAATAGTTACAAAGCAAGGTATTGGATAGGCAAACATCTTTTTGTATCAAAGCACTGGTCAAGCTCAGTGTTTCTTTCTCTCAAGCGGAGGTGTCTTAGTTAGGGTTTCTATTGCTGTGAAGGGACTATGATCATGATAACGTCTCATAAAGGAAATCATTTAACTGTGTGGCTTGCAGTGCAGACGTTTACTCCATTATCATCATGGTGGGACATGGGAGCATGCAGGCAGACATGGTGCTGGAGAAGGAGCTGAGAATTTTACACCTTGATTTGCAGGCAACAGGAAGGGAACTGAGACATTGGGCTTGTATGAGACCTCAAAGCCCATCTCCACAAGGCCACGTTTACTCTGCCAAAGCCACACATCCTAATAGTGCCACTACCATGAGATTACAGGGGGGAGGGGCAGTTACACTCAAGCTACCACAATAGGTTAAGCATGCAAGGAACCAAACACATCTAAATCTTATATATTACTGTACTGTTGCCATGGGAAGTTTCATTTGCTGTCCCGTAAGGAAGTCAGCCCAGATTGCCAGGTGCCACATACCACCTCTCTGTCCTTTCTACCTGGTGGTCACACGGTAACAAATTTTTCACCCCGGGGTGATTTATATTCCCCCTAAATTAGGGAGAATCCACACGTGGACCTCCCTTTTCCACACCTTCCCATGTATCCCATTCCTCTCCAGACACAGTGGACTTTTTCCTCTCTGTAGTGTGTCCCTCCCCATGGTGGCACGGTGTGCCATTCTGTCCCTTCTATTCTGTGACACGGGGTGTGGCACTTACCCTTCTTTCATGTTTCACTTCTTGTAGAAGTTAATTTCCACTTCTTCTCAAACTCCTTCAGTCTCCCCGCTGACTGCTTTCTTTTATACTCTGCTACTGATCTTTTTAAATTCAGTGTTTTAATTTTAAATTCATTGCTTATGTATGTGTCTGTGGGTGTGCACCACACGTGTGCAAGTGTCTGTGGAGACCAGAAGAGAGCATCAGATCCCTGGGTTCTAGAGTGATAGGCAGGTTGTTGGGAATCACCTGCCCATGTGTCCTGGGAATGGCATTCATGTACTGTGCAATACCAGAAGCTCTCTCAATAGCTAAGCCATCTCTCCAGGATAACTCTCCCCGCAGCATGTCTTGAATATACGGTCAGTGGGTCCTTTCTTTCCCCGATATTCAGCTGTTTAGTGAGCAGGTGGGCACGTATGAAACACAGCTGCTGCCTCTCCTCTCTCTTCGCCTTCTCTCCCAGCCTGAGAAGACTCCTATGTGTCAAGTACATCCTCCTGTCTCCTTTCTTGAGTAGATGCAGTGAATGTCTTTCTGTCTTCTGGACTGTCCATGCTGGCTTGTTTATTTTCATTCCATTGTCTTCCCTTCACCTACTGTCCTTTAACCGCATCTTCTACAAGTACTTTTATACTATGGTCTGTTCGAGCCATGGTGTCTAAGTTAGGGTTACTATTGCTGTGATGAAACACCATGACCAAAACAATCTGGGAAGGAAAGGGTTTATTTGGCTTACACTTCCACATCACCATTCATCATTGGATGACATCAACAGGAACTCAACAAGGTAGGAACCTGAAGGCAGGGGCTGATGCAGAGTGCTGCTTACTGGCTCTCTTCCCATGACTTACTCAGCCTGGTTTCTTATAGAACACAGGACAACCTGCCCAGAGTTGGTCCCACCCACAATAGTCAGGGCCCTCCCACATTGATCACTAATTAAGGCCACGATCTTATTGAGGCATTTTCTCAATTGAGGCTCCCTCCCCTTCAGTGACTCCAGCTTGTGCAAACTGACATAAAACTAGCCAGCACACATGGGTTAAATTCCTGTGGGTTTTTCCCCCCATTCTAGTCCCTTAATCTGAAAAATCATGCATGGCAGGCAGTCTTCGAGAAATAGCCATTCCTTCCTTGCTTGGTGAAGTTACTATAAAGTTATCTAATTAACTATATTAATCATTTTTTACTAAAGCAAATCAAGCCTATCCTTGATGTCTCATACTTGTTTTGTATGTTGTCTCTTAGAATGAGCCTGGTTGGAAAGGAGTTCTCCAGAGATCACTGCTTCCCCCAACCACTAACACTCTTCGTTCAGGTTATTGTCCCGATAGTCTAATACACACACACACACACACACACACACACACACACACACACACACACACACACCTCTATTTTCCAGGCTCTCAACTTATTTCTATTCTTACTATCTCCAGAGTTTCTCCCCATAGACTAGTGGTTCTCAGATCATGGTTCCTGAAATAGATCCATCAGCCATGTGAGAACTACCGATCAGAAAGCTGGGGATGGCGCCCAAAAATCTGTGTCTTTATCACGTCTCCAGGTGGTATTACATTGAAACCAGCTGGTCCCAGGCTCCTTATATCTTCCTCAAATCTGTGCTCAGTAATTCTATGTTGGTAGCTTAAAATTGGTCAAATTGGGAATATTTACACCACAGAAATTGGCAAACACTACAAACCAGAACTTTCAGTTCTGAGAGACATTCTCTAGCCTAGGACTACTGCCAAATGATTCTGATAGAAAGTTTGAGAACATTTTCATAAGTCATTTCTAGCACTCCACCTGTTCTAGTGAAATTGTCTATGTTCTGATTCCTCCGGTTTCTGCCATGTTGCTTCAGTACCCGTTCCTCCTTCACGATTCAGCCTGTAGAGAGCGATGAGAACAAGAGTGAGCACACATGGCTTTCCGGCTGCTGAGTCTTTACGGTGTGCATGGTCTAGCTCTGCACCCACAGACGTCCAATTCCCCTTCTTGTATCCTTCATGCATCTCACACACAGGAAAAGTGTCCATGATCTTACCTCACATGCCGAGAACTCTGGAGCATGTCTAGGTTTGACGTTTCTTTTCTGTTAAGTAGCAGATGCACTCTGGGTATGTGACTGACTAGTGTGTGTGTGGGGGGGGGCACTAGTCTCCAAGTCAGGAGATGGTAAGTTAGTTTGTCCAGCATCTTTTATGAAATAGAAGTCCTGTGTATATGTCAATAAAGCATTGTTGGCCAATAGGGAAGCAAGATAGGTGGGACTAGGAGTTGAGGAGGACTCGTGGTAGGAGAAACACGGGGAGTCGAGATGTAACGCCATAGGGATAAGAAGCCTGGAAAGTTCTCCGGTAAGAGAAATACTTAGATTAACAATTATGGGATAAATACTTAAGTCAGAGCTAGCCAGTAAGAAACAAGCGAGGCCAACAGCTTCATAATTAATATAGCCTCCAGTGTGTTTATTTGGGACTGATGCGGCTCTGGAACCAGGCTGATAGTCTACCAAGTGAGCAGTGAAGGTATCCAGGCATGTTTGCTGCAGAAATCACATCAGTGAATATTAAGCCCCAGAGCCATTGAATCCCTGTTGACCACAACCTAAAATAACACCCTGGCATGAGCTCCTCCCACCTAACCCTGCCTTTCTCCCCATTTAAAGCCTTCATCTTTATCTTCCTTTTGCACGCCTCCTTCCTTTGGCGCGCTTTCATTTCTGGCCACCCTGCCTGTGGAATCCAGCAAACCATTCCTTGTCTCAGATCTCAAGGACCCCCAAGTTGACTGCCTGTGGTTCAGTTCTGAACACTTGAAAGAAAGGTTGCGGCTTTCACTTCTGTGCTTGGTGAATCTGATTGTTTAAAACATGCTCCCCTTTCAGAAACCCTCCCAAAGTTTCACCGTCGTCTCTGTATATAGACTAAAATAAGGCTTAGGGGGCACCATCTTAGGGGGTCAGTTCCTTGATTTTGAAGAAATAAAAAAAAATCTCCTTTGTTGCCTCTTTTCTAGTCTGGAAAATTAAACTCTAGTGTTCTTAGTGAACAAAGCATTAATCCTCAAGCCTGTGTGTAGCTTTGGAATTGGTCTTTTCATTTTCTATAATGTGGCCTTTAGAATTGCATTTTTCCCCTTCTCTGCCTAAATCGGATTCCTTTTCTTGCAGGTTTTTATTTATTCCCAGCGCTTTACGTTACAGAGCTATCTGTGTGTAGCGCTTTCTCTTTGATCACTTTGAAATATGCTCTGTATTTCCCGATTGTTTCTCTAGTTCCCTGTGGCGTTAGCTGCAGTGAGGGGTAGACACATGTGGCACCCACTGGTACTGTGCTGGGTCTCAGTGGCTGAAGCTATGCAGTAATGACCTAGTGCCTGGGCCTACGGGAGTCTCTCCAGATCCACTCTGCTGCATTTTCTATCCTTCTTATCAAATGAAAGGCTCACACAGCTCTCACCCAAAGTGAATTTAAGTACTATTTTAATAAACATTGACCTTCTATAGCTATCAACTAGTGGAAAATTTATCCGAAATTCTTTCATTTCTCGTATCACTGAATTGATGGTATTGAGCATTTTTGAGGCCAGCTCATTGGTTCGTCAGAGCCTGTAGAACCTATTGCCTTTATGTAACCAACAAACACTGATGGGAAGGCTACCAAGAGACATACGGAAAAGATATATGAATGCCCCAGGGAGGCTAATTATTTGCTCAGTGTTTTCTTATTGGGGCCCTGGTTTTCAATTATATGTATACCTGTTTCATTATGTTCAAAGTGAGAGATTTATTACCTGCATGAAACATTATAGAACATTAAAACTGGATCATAATTGCCTTGCTATATGACACTTTCTGAGCCAGATAACTTCCGGGGAGATATATTAGAGGATTTTAAATCTAAGCGATAAAATCAATCAGTCGTCCCTGATGAACAATAGTTGTTCCCAGCTTTATACACCATCAGTATTTTCTGCTCCCAGTGACTGCAGTTTCAAGAAGTTCACTGGAGACTGGGAACAGCATATGTGTAGATCCAATTGACTCTGCCTATACATTGAAAGTGGCAGCTTGCTGTGTCCACAACTAGCCTTGTCAGCAGGGATGAGAGCTGACAGGAAGAGATTTTTTTTTATATTTTTAACCCAAGGAAGCTGGGGCCTTTGGTTAGAACAAGATCAATTTACAGCTTGCCTGTCTTCTACAGAAATCCAACTTTATTGACACATATATTCTATTTGTTGCATTGATATTCTGTAATTGTTTGCAAATGGCTTCATAGAAAGCAGGCCTTGACAATCACCCAGCTTGTCTACTCCTAAGTATTAAGGGTATTAAGAAAAAGACAAGGCCGGGCATTGGTGGCGCACGCCTTTAATCCCAGCACTCGGGAGGCAGAGGCAGGTGGATCTCTGTGAGTTCGAGACCAGCCTGGACTACCAAGTGAGTTCCAGGACAGCCTCCAAAGCCACAGAGAAACCCTGTCTCGAAAAACCAAAAAAAAGAAAAAAGAAAAAGACAAGAGGGGTTAGAGATGTGGTTCGCTCGTATAGTATGAGGTGCTGGGTTTAGTCCCCAAAACACCCTCTCTAAGACAAGGAGAGCTAATATGTAAATATCAAAAGACCCAAATCTAGCAGAAGAGGCAGGAGAAGAAAGAGTGAATCAATACTAGATACGTAAGATATGTCACTATGTTTCAGTGCTATTTTCATAGCTGTCCTCCAGTCTATAAATCATAGTTTATCAAACTATGGCCATTAGTAAGCCAAACCCTCTCTGCCATTAGTTTTTATAAGTAAAATTTTATTGAGTCTCAACTCTGTTTATTCATTTACTTATTGTCTGTGACTATTTTTGTACTACAGTGATGGAATTGAACAGTTACAGGAAATTGTGTAGCCCACAAACACAAAATGCTTTGTATCTGGCCTATTAAAGAAAAAGGTTTGTTGGTTGTGCAATAAAATATGTACTAACCTGTTTCAATAGATGACTTAAAATATTATGGCCACTTAAAGCATCAAGTTCACACATGGGCATAGTATTTTCACAATTTCAATGCAGCATGGCCAGACCACAAATGACATCAAGATCTGCTCAACATCACTGGATAGCAGAAAACCAATGAGTGTTTTGGAGCCTAGATGTTAAACCTGAATTTAAAGAGGAAAAGCTAATTTCCTCAGGGGTTAGGAGCACTAGCTGCACTTCCAGGGGACCTGGGTTTGATTCCAAACACCCACATGGCAGCTCACAACTTTCTTATGTTCTCTTCTGACTTCTGTGGGTACCAGGCACACATGTAATGCACAGACATACATGCAGGCAAAGCACTCATACACTTAAAAATAATGTCTTTTTAAAAAACAAAGAAAAGTAACAGCAAAAATTAATCTATCTTCTTGATAACACATCTTGCAAATGAACTTTAGACTTACATTCAAAACGATATCAAAACCTAGAAATCAGCATTTTATCATTTGTGCTGAAGTACATTCTCCGTCAGAATTCTTTACTTTGATTCATCAAAACACTTGGATTAAATGAATGTTTTGCACAGCATGTGTCCGCTAAGTATGCCCTGCCCCATGATTCACCCTTGTCATCACTGTACCACTTTTTAAAAGTCATAACTGCATAATAATGTTTAGCTAATATGACATGTGCTATACTCCTTACCTGACTTTAATTTGCATTTCTCATCTGCAAAGGAGAAACCCTTTATACATTTTTTTTATTTTGTTTTGTTTTTTGAGACAGGGTTTCTCTGTGTAGTTTTGGAGCCTGTCCTGGAACTCGCTCTTGTAGACTAGGCTTGTCTCAAACTCACAGGTATCCACCTGCCTCTGCCTCCCGAGTGCTGTGATTAAAGGCGTGTGTCATCACAGCCCAGCTCTTTATACCATTTTTTTAAGGCATAAAATGATACAACCTAAAAAATGCTCAGCACTGGGGTAGATGTGAAAATTATCTCTTTTTTCATTGCACACTTGATGAACATATTTCTGTTTCTGCAAACCCAAAAGCAAAAAGCAAGCAAACAAACCAACATCTTTAGCAGAATGCAGCAGACGGTGATTATGCAGTCAGGCCTGTTTAACAGCTCTTAGACAATTCAACCCAGTTATTAGTGACAGCACCAAGTCAAGTGACCAAGTAGTATGTGTTATTTATTCAAACGGGACTTGGTAAAGTAATCATCCTGTTGCCTAAGAAGACAGCCGAGACCAGCCCCAGTGTTCTTTGACTGTCTTCACCAGGAACAAGGTTGGGTCATGGTTCATTAGCCTCTTGGAATCAGTAAGTTTGAGGTCTCCATCATTAAAAAAATATTAATAACGTGATGGCCTATTGTGAAGCCAAATACATTGGCATTAGTGATATTTTTACCTGTTGTATTTCTTTAGGATTTCTTAAAAAGCCTATACAGAAAATATTTAGGTACTTCTTAATTACAAAAAGAAAGAGGTCCCTTTTGAGAACTGCAGATTTTTAAGTCTTGTTGTGTTCAACATTCTGTTGCCTTTCTTCGTTTTTTCACTTAGTAACTTCCATCCCTCGGCTCACAACTTTTTGTAAACCTCCCCACTGAGTGCAGAATAAAACCCTGCATCTTTTTTTTTATGAGACAGGGTTTCTCTGTATTGTTTTGGAGGCTGTCGTCCAGCCCAGCCTCGAACTCACAGAGATCCACCTGCCTCTGCCTCCCGAGTGCTGGGATTAAAGGCATGCGCCACCACCACCCGGCTAAAAACCCTGCATCTTGATACCAAGATTTAAACTTGAATCCAAACAAACTTGTTACATGTTCAGGTCCACAACTGTGTCTTACTTTATTGTTCATTTCCTGGCACAGAGCGTATCCTGCAAATGTTACCAATAACTAGTAACTTAAGTATAGGAAGAATGCCGGCTGCCCCTAGTCCCTATTGCTCTCTTAGTGTGTTCTGTTGTTTATAGTCTCTGGGAATTTTCGAAAACCATCAAAGTCTTCCCTACACTCACAAGACCACGCTGCATAAAGCTTCTCTCAATCCTTCAGTAGCTATGGTTAATTTTTTTTTATGAATGCATACCTGAATTGGTCACACTACTCAACCAACTCATTAATTCTCTACATATTCATTTATAGGACATTATTATTAAATAGTATCTGAATAAATACATGGATCACTCATTTCTTTCTGCAATGTATGGTTCTTAGCACGTAGGTTATAAGGCAAAATCAGATTGTTGAGGGCCTTGCCCTTTTAAAGCTGGGTAGGGGGCCTGATATGCATATCACTGTCTAACATGATCTACTACAGTGGACTCTCCAAAATGTAAAAGAAGGAAAAGAATAAGAGAATGTTGGATGGGTGTTCAGTGGAGAAAGAAAAGTTAGGGGAGGCCTCTCAGGGTAAATGGCATGAGTAAAGTCCTGAATTACAAGAGGACATTACTTAAGCCATGTGTTAGGCATTAACAACACAAAGATAGGAAACACATTGCTTACTAGCAACCTACATGAAGGTGTCAGCTGCTACACTCACCTGGCAAGCTATGGTATAACCTGCAGATGGTAGACATTCTTACGCTGGTCTGGTTGCGGTGCAAGTTTTCTTATGCTTCTGTGTTCCTTATACCATTGTGACTGTATGCTCTGTTCATGCGGGCACTCCCAGAGTGTCTAACAGTCCCCGAGCACAGAAGGCTCATCAGCAGGCTGGTGAATTCAGCCAACACAGTCCTGAGAGTCCTCCCAGACTTATTTTGCAGCTGGGAAAGCAGCCGCCCTGGAGCTCCTGTCTCAAAGCTCTTGGCTGAGCTAGCTGATTGACCTCCCCCTGTGAATTGCTGTACATACTGAGCAACCCCACAGCATCATATCTGAGGAGTGGGAGAGCTGCCAAAGCCTCGTAGCCAGACTGGGCCCCTGGGGTGCCTGTGTGGTTGTATCTTCCGATCTGTTCAAATGCTTGCTGCCATCCTAGTGGAGGAGACTGTGCAGTCTGGACAGACTCATTCTTTTCCCTCTGTGTCTTTAAAAAACTGTACAAACAAACACTATCCAGGACATTCTGAGTCTAGTTGTACTAAAAAAAAAAGTCCTGCTTCCATTTTCCTCCCCCCTCCGAGAAAAAGGCATTTTAAATTTAACTGGCATTTGCCATTGCAGCATCCTCAGAGGCACACCTCAGACCCAGGTGGTCAAGTGCCTCTTGGCTGGCGTTAGGAAACAGCAAGGGAGAATAACAGCCAAGATGATTTTATTCACATCGGAATAGTGCAAAATCTCTATGAACACAGAGCTAATGCCAAATTAGATTTCTAGACTGACACTGTGTAGTAGTCATAAGTGGTCATTGCAAGGTAAATGGGTAGTCCTTCTGCATCTGTCTGCTCTTTATCCCCATTTCTTTCCCTCCTGAATTTCTCTCCCATAGTCGTGAATCTGTTCCACTCCATTATGCAGAACCCTATAGGTCATAAACTTCAATAACTAAATATAGTGTGGTGATTTGTAGACCAAGAGTAAAGAAGTCTATTCAAGTTTGCAAACCAATTTTCCAAACTTCCATAAATATATAAAAGCCTCCAAAAAGTATTCTTATCAACATAAAGAAAAACAAAAGACTGATACGAATCATCCTGGCTCTTACGAGCTGTGACCAAAGGCAGACGCACATGTAAACAGATTGGCAACTTCTGAAGACACTTCCTGGAAATTGCCAGATGGGGCTGGAGACAGGACTCTGCATAAAAGCACACATTGCAGTCCTAGCAGGTCTGGGTTCTGTCCCTAGTACCCACACAATGTGGCTCACAACCGCCAATAACCCAGACTCCGGGGGAATTCAACACCTTCTCGCCTCTCAACTGCATTAATAGTGTGCATGCCCCTTTCCCCCACCCACACAAGTGTGTGCTCATAACTAAAAATCAAACCAAGTCATAAGAAACAAAATGCCTTAACTAAAGGTGCTTCGTATACTGTCCTCATGAACAAATGAATATGAACTCACGGATACTTCATTGGATGCAGGAATGAATGGATGAATCAGCAGTGGGTAGGTGAGGAAATGTTGCAAGTCTGTAACACAGGACAGTTGTCAGTGCTTTATAAATGTGCACATGAGAACAGCTCTTCATTGACAAGGCATGCAGGAGGGGATGTTTTTCTGGTAATATGAATGTTTTCCGTCTTTTCTCAGTTCTCATAATCAGCAGCATCAATGTGCAAAATACGTTCTCACATATGACTTTGGCTTTATTAGAACCGAATTACAAACTCAACACCATATTTATCATGAGCAGATGGAAACTGTAAAACACGACACACATAATATTTATACATGTGATACAGTCGCATGCATATTTTAACTCAGAAGAAAAAAGCATACTTTCACTGATTGCAAATTTCCACCTTGCTACGTTTGTCTTACTTTCTAAGTAGATTATTAAACATTCATGGACGCATTATCTGAAAGGCCCGAGTCTTTGTTGGTGTTGGGACACGCCACACTTCGGGGTTATGAATATGGGCTTAAGGCTGCAGCTCTAGAAGAAACCCATCAGCAATGTTCACAGGAGCACCACTGTGGACTCAACTCTGAACCAGGCCAGGTGTCGCTTGTTCTTAGTTTCTGTTTTATGTTTTTAATCTGCGTACCTGATACGACAGTGCTAAGGATGGCAGAAAATGTTGCTAGACTAGGTCAGTAAGCAAATCAGAGAGCTGTGACTGTTGGTTGATTCAACCAGGCCTTGTTAGGGGCTTGTAAAAAAATTGCATTGGATTTTAGAGAAACAAACCTAAATCCCGAGTAGCAAGAATGAGCTTTAGAAGACTAGGGTTCTGATCATGAAAACTTGACATCTCAGAAAGAAATAAAATGTAAATCTAGGACCACAGTCGAGGCACTAAACTGCCGACCCTTACAGAGCAGTGTGGAGGAAATACTGTGGTCCAGTGAGTTGTGAGCGCAGAAGAAGGACCAGGTCACTGTTCACCGGGCAGCTGCCAATAGACTTGAGCTAACAATGCACTCCAGGCTCGTTCTTTTTGGCTCAGAATTAGGTGAGATTAGTGCTCACGACTGGCTGTGATTGGAACAGGAAGGGAATGGCACATTCATAACTATTATTAAGTGGTTCTGTTCTTGAGACTAGCTGATGGATTCCATGAGTAAGTGCTAGTGCTTATGCTTAATGGGATTTTGAAAACGTAAAGCATATGGTTGTAAGTGTCTGGGTATCAGATGACTCATTTGTAGGACTGCCATTTCAGGAGTGCATTAAACTGAATTTTATTGTTTAAATTCTGAAAACTATGGAAGTCTTTATTAACCTACAAAATACAGAAAACGAAGTCTTGGTAAATCTTCATTTTGTGATACTCACTGCTTAAGAGTTGGAAAGTTGGTGCATTACAATGAAACAGATTGTTTTGAAAGTATAACTTTATCACCCCAAGACAGGCAATATTAGCATCATTATGTGTTATTTTGAATTTTTAAAAATGCATATTATATAATTGTTATGTATTATTCAACACTTTTTCTCATTTGCCCTTTGTTTTGACTAAGTGTGAGAGCAGACACTTTTAATATTGTTGTAACATCTGTAAAATCTTATTGGTTTTATAGGCTGCAAAAAAAATCTCCATGTATAAAACAGATAAACATATCCACACACATATTTCTATAGTGGCAATTATTTAGATGGTTTTTGATTTGCTGTTATTAGGTACAACCAAATAATGAACATCTGCTTACAAACTTTAAATTTTTTTCTGAATTCATTCTCAATATTGATTCTTAGATTTACAACTGTTTCTTCAAAGCCGATGAATAGTTGCTAAGGTTTAGGGTATAAACTGAGAAAATATTTCAAATAGCAAAAATTAATATACAGCAAAAACTTCTCTATGCTTGTGCCACAACTGATAATAAATGTAATTTTATATTGTTTTCTAATGATATGGGAGAAAGTTATCTTTTGTTATTATTTTGATTTCTTGTTTTATAATTCTCTGGTCTCTCACATGCTGCAATTACGTGTGTAAGTTAACACACTTGATTTCTTAATAACGTTGATTTCTAGTGACGTTCAACAGTTCCTCATGGATATCTAACACCTTTGTATACTTCCAATCAGTTTCTGTTCATGAACTTCATTCATCAGTAAACTTTAGGAAAATATTTGGTGTACAGGGGAAACATACTGTCAGTGTATTAGTTACTTTTCGGTTGCTATAACAAAATGCCATACCAGGGTGATTTAAGAATGAGCTATTTTGAGCCGGCAGTGGTGGCGCACGCCTTTAATCCCAGCACTCGGGAGGCAGAGGCAGGCGGATCTATATCTGTGAGTTCGAGGCTGGGCTGGACCGACAGCCTCCATAATAATACAGAGAAACCCTGTCTCGTAAAAACCAAAAAAAAACAAAAAACAAAAAACAAAAAAAACAAAAGAATGAGCTATTTTGGCTTATGGTTACAGAAGGATAAAAGCCCATTGTGGGTGGAAGCATGACAGCCAGGGATAGGCATCGCAGCTGAGGAAGAAGCTGAGAGTTCACATCTGAACAGGAGCCCAAAACAGAGAAACCGAAGTGGAAATGACTCCAGGCTTTAATCTCAAAGCACATCCCTATGGACATACTTTCTGCAACAAGGCCACACCTCCTAAATTTCCCTGAACAGTGCCACTGATTGAGAACCAAGTGTTCAAGTACTGGAGACTGTGAGGGACATTTCTCATTCAGGGTACCACAGTCATCATTTTTTATTCACAATAGTTATGTTCCAGAAATACTTGGTGAGTAGTGGTTTATTAAATAATGAGCTATTTTCCCATGTAATCTATAGAATTTGGGTGCTGTGAACCTCTGGTCCTAACACTGTCATCCATCAACCCTTGTGTTTCTGTGCCTTGTTTACATGTATGTTGTCTACACTGAGATGAAAGGCAGCATCGCTGAAAGCTGCCCGCACATGTGTTATCTAACACAGATGCATTCTTCATGAGGAACATCTCAGTCCTCTGCATTAAAGAATACAAGTAAGGTTAGGACTGTATTTGGGGAGCTTTCAAATCTTTTTTAGATCACACAGTTACCAACAAAAACCACAATGAGGATTCAGCTGGAAAGATGGCTCGGCAGTTGAATATACATCTTTCTCTTGCAGGGGACCCAGTTTTAATTCCCAGCATCCACACGAAGGGCCACAAACATCTGTAACTCCAGTTCTGGGAGATATGATGCCCTGTTCTGGCAAACCAGTGTACCAAGCATATGGAGACTGCACAGACACACCGTCAGGCAAAACATCCACATACATAAAATTCCTGTAATCCCAGCACTCAGAAGGCAGACTTCTGTGAGTTTGAGCTGAGTTTATTATTCAGTGAGTTCCAGGCCAGGCAGAGCTACTCAGTGTCTCAAACAAACAAATGAAAGCCATAAGATGCAAGGAGTATGGCACTAATAAAGAGCATTATTTACAGTAGAGTGTACCAGGTTTTTTTTTCTTCTGGGCCACCGACCAGCTTCCAAATCCTGACATGGGGACATTATTAGTTTTGAATGCTGGGCTGAGCTTAGGCATGTTTCTGGCTAGGTCTTTTAAATTAATCTGTTTCTCTTCATCTACCTTTTGCCCGAAGGCCTTATACTTTTCTTTCCTTCGGTATATCTTGCTTTCACTG